TTGTTTGTTTCCTCTCTGTTGTTGTGCTGTTGTAATTTTTTAATACTGGTAGCCAGATTTTGTTCATTTTCATGGTTTTCTGCTTTCTGTTGAAATTGTCCACATGCTTGTGTATTTCAATGGCTTCTCTGTGTAGTCTGACATGGTGGTTGTGAGAGTGGTCCAGCATTCCTGTGTTCTCAAATAAAATGCTGTGTCCAGGTTGGGCCATTATATGCTGGCCAAGGTGGTCAGTTTATTATTTACTTATTTATTTACAGCTTTTATATTCCGCCCTTCTCACCGCGCAGGGGACTCATGGTGGATTACAGTGTACACATATATGGCAAGCATTCAATGCCAATTTTTGACATACAAACATATACAGACATACACAGAGGCTATTTAACTTTTTCAATCACATCGCTTTCATCGTCCATCTGCGACGCTGATGAAGCACTTCTGCATTCCCCGCATGCTTCCCCGCTGGAATGCTTTGCTGGAGCCTTCTTTATGGCCTCATAAATCAGTTAATTTAGCCTCCCCACACTTTAAGGTGGTACCTAATTTTCCTACTTGACAGATGCAACTGTCTTTTGGGTTGCACAGGTTGACAACAGGCTACACACAATAGGTTGGAAACCCACTCCAACCCGGGCTGGCTTTGAACTCATGACCTTTTGGTCAGAGTGATCTTAATGCAGCTGACACTCAGCCAGCTGCGCCACAATCCCAGTTGAAACATTAACCCCTAGCTCCAGCAGACAAGAGTCCTTTGTCCCACCCTGGTCATTCCACAGATATATAAACCCTTTTTCCTAGTTCCAACAGACCTCACTACCTCTGAGGATACTTGCCATAGATGCAGGCGAAACGTCAGGAGAGAATGCCTCTAGACCATGGCCATATAGCCTGAAAAAACCTACAACAACCCAGTGATTCCGGCCATGAAAGCCTTCGACAATACATTAAACATCGTAATGTTTTGCATTTCAGGTACCAGAGTCTCCAAGGCTGGATGCCAGGGGAAGATGCAAGTTGTGATTTTGGCAAACGAACATATCCAAACCCTGAGATGACATTTCCCATCAAGCAATTTGTAGTACATATTCTCTTGTAAGCCCACTCAGGCGGACACACCTTCCACGGGCTGCAAAACCATGCTGCTGACTCTTTTTTTTTTTAACCAAAGGAGAAACCCCCCTCTGTGACTCTATTTGCCTTGTCCCTGGTCTCCCCTTCTAACTAATTAGCTGCTAGTTCTCCAAGGCAATTTAGCACTTGCCGCCTTCCATTAGTAGGCATCAACCCCAAGGGCTTCAGACGTGACACATCTCAGGCATCTTAAGGGTTCTTAATGGAAAAGGGGAAAAAGCTACTCAGTGACAATGCTTCACAGTTTGCAGACAGAAGAATTCCTTAATTCCTTGGCCCCCACATTCATTCCTACAGGAGAAGGATCCTTTTATGAAGATCAATTTGCTCACTTGTTGAAAAATGCCTATTTTAGCTTAATTTTGGTTTTCACAGTTATGGGATAAGTCCTGTCAGGTTTAGGGAGGAAATCTGACAAAGTATTTCAAAGCCCACGGTGGCGCAATGGGTTCAAGCCTTGTGTCAGCGAGACTGAAGTCCGACAGGTCAGAGGTTCGATTCTGGGGAGAGCGTGGGTGAGCTCCCTCTGTCAGCTCCAGCTCCCCGTGCGGGGAAATGAGAGAAGCCTCCCACAAGGATAGTAAAACATCAAAACATCCGGGCATCCCCTGGGCAAAACCCTTGCAAATGGTCAATTCTCTCACACCAGAAGTGACTTGCAGTTTCTCGAGTCAATCCTAACACACACACACAAAAATTGACGAATTAATTTGCGATAGGTTGGGCTGCAAAGCTTTCAAACTACAAGAAAGGAGATTCCACCTGAACATTAGGAAGAACTTCCTGATTGTGAGAGCTGTTCAGCAGTGAAACTCTCTGCCACGGAGTGTGGTGGAGGCTCCTTCTTAATAATAATAATAATAATAATAATAATAATAATACTTTATTTGTACCCCGCTACCATCTCCCCAAGGGACTCGGTGCGGCTTACATGAGGCCGAGCCCACAATACATCAGCAAAAAAAAAACAACAACAGTAATACAAACAATAAAATAAAGCTCATAAACAAAAATAGGCAGTAAACATCAACAATAACACAATAACATTTAAAAACCTATGGCTGGGCCAAATGTAATAATTAAAAATTTAAAAATAATGCTGAGCTAGACCAGGTGAAATATAACTAGGATAGAATTTCGGAAAAGAATGGGGTGTACAGACAGTCCTAGATCACTAATAAGGTGCAATTAGGGACATATTTCTGGGAGTTTCCTTATTTCCTTCCTCCCTCCCTTCCCTTCCCTCCCTCCCTTCTTTGGAGGCTTTTAAACAGAGGCTGGATGGCCATCTGTCGGGAGTGCTTTGAATGCAATTTTCCTGCTTCTTGGCAGAATGGGGTTGGACTGGATAGCTCAAGAGGGCTCTTCCAACGCTATGAATCTATGATTCACCAAGACTGAAACTTCAGAATGAAAATAAAGAAAGCAGCAGCTGTTTTCCTTAAAAGGAAAAAAAAAAATTCAAAGGACTCAGAAAAATCGGGAAATAGTCAATATCTGGTTTGAATGTGAGAATGTGTCGCTCAGTTTTGAATGAGCTGCACACCTGCGGGAAGGGAAAGCTACCAGCCTCATTGTCAGCATCCAAAAAGGCACAGCCACGCCGAGGATGGGTTTGTGTGTCGCTTTCATTGCACAGCCTCCTCCCAACCCGCTCCTTGCTGATCTGGGAAACATCAAAAGGAGCGTAGATGAAAAGTCAGGCAGATGGGAAAAGGGAAACTTCGAAAGAGGGGCCTCATGAATCATTCAGGCTACATCTGCTGCATCTCGCTACAAGACAAGAGAGAGTTGGGCGCCTTTTCATGCCCTGATTCTCACAAGGCCAAAGCAGGTTAGTGCACGGCTTTGTTAGCCAGGAAACAAGCCCAAGAGGGAAATCCTGAAGGAGATTGGAGCTCTACAACTCATTCTGCAGGTATCCAAGATATAGCATCGTGTGCATCCAAGAGAGAGACCCAAATGGGCAAACTTGCCCGAGATGCTCACAACTCACCAAAAACTGTAGAGCGCCCGGTGGCGCAGTGGGTTAAACTCCTGTGCCGGCAGGACTGAAGACCAACAGGTCACTGGTTCAAATCCGGGGAGAGGCGGATGAGCTCCCTCTATCAGCTCCAGCTCCTCATACGGGGACATGAGAGAAGCCTCCCACAAGGATGATAAAAAAAACATCAAATCATCCGGGCATTGTCCCCTGGGCAACGTCCTTGCAGACGGCCAATTCTCTCACACCAGAAGTGACTTGCAGTTTCTCAAGTCGCTCCTGACACGATAAAAAAACAAACAGACCAAAAACTGTAATCTGTGAAAGGCGGTCACTCTTTCTCCAAGCATAGGATGGGATTGAACATTCTGGCCATCTCGGAATAAGAACTCCAAGTGTCTCTTGTTGCAGGCATGCCTCACTTCCTCTCTCAACCTTGACTCCCACCCAACGCAGATCAGGTTGAATTCTAGATCCATGCCACCTTTGCAAGTAGGTTTTCCTTACCTGTGCAGGAGAAAGGTTCCCTGGCAGGGCTTCATGGGGAAAGTGATGCTGGCCACCCGCTCTCCAAAAGGGAGACAAAAGCAAAGGCAGGAAGGTAGAGAAAGGCAGGCAGAAAGGAGTGGCTTGCTTGCTGATCTCCCAGGAATCTGCTGGGGGCGGCAAGATCAGCCCCTCTTTGGCCCATGAATCGCAACCTTTGTCCAAGCGGAATTCCAGTCCCTTCCAAGCCGGCGGGTGTTTCGGGCCCGGCCGGGAGCTCTGTGTGTGGGAGAAGCAGCTGCCTATGTGAGCGGGAGGCGGAATGTCACCGGCAAGGAGCCGCCTTCCCCGCATGGACTTGTGACAGTCACACGCAGCTCTGTGATGCTCAGGCGAAAAGGGGAGTCAAGCTAGAGAGCAACCGTAGTACGTATAAAGACAAGAACGGAAAAATGCCTCGATTGGATCCAAGCAGGCCATTTATGCCGCTTAGAACATGGAAAAGGTGCATCTGTGGGTCACAGTCCCAGGGAACCTCCAGCTGTAGGAGATACAGGGCATAAAATTCACTATTAGAGTGGAAGGGACTCTATTAGCTCCAGTTAAGGAGCCAGATACTTTCAGATAGTCCTCCGGGAACAAGATCATACAAACAAAGTTGCTCTTGGGTTGCTGTAAGTTTTTCGAGCTGCATGGCCATGTTCCAGAAGCATTCTCTCCTGACGTTTCACCCACATCTATGGCAGGCATCCTCAGAGGTTGTGAGGTTAGTTGGAAACTAGGCAAGTGAGGTTTATATATCTGTGGAATAATGTCCAGGGTGGGAGAAAGAACTCTTGTCTGCTTGAGGTAAGTGTGTACGTTGCCATTGGCCAGCAAGGAACATGGAACGCACTGCAGACTGATTCAACCAGAGAAGTCAGCCCTAGCAGAGCCCTTGATGAACCAGCCTATTATTTGAGTACACAGAAATTCTGGAACACTCTCACAACCACCATGTCAGGTTACACAGAGAAGCCATTGAAATCCACAAAGAGAATGGCATCCAGACCTTGTCCCTGAATCTGAAGAACTTCTTGCCTTTAGCAAAACACCATCTACTTGCCTAGAACCCACAATGTTATCGACAATTGAGAAAGTACAGAATAATGAAAGAGGACAAACGTGGAGAATAGTCAGGCTAGCCTTGTCTATCCTATGGAACAACATAATGGAGGCAGCCATTCAGCTGATCAACACCTTTGAGCTATTCGGGTGCACTTGCTCAGCCCTGATTTTTCAAGGGTTAGTTTAAATTGTGCCAATCTGTTTGGTATGATGTTTGTAATCAACTTGAGGAAAAGAAGTCGAGAAATGGCTGAAAACACACAAAGGCAGAAAGCCCCGTGGCCCTTACCTGAGACTGTGCGTGGGAGGTGCTGTTGCGACGGGGAGGGCCGGTGGCCTGCCACTCACGACATCTGGGGAGGGTGAAAGAGCATCCCTGCATGACCATGGGCTGCATCGGAACTCATGAGGACAGCGGCAGTTCGTACGCTGGGAACTGGAAGGAGAAAAAGGAAAGCAAAAGGAAAGCAAACACAGAGGTTACTCTCGGTATGTCCTGCATGGAGCAGGAACTAGACTAGATGACCTTCAAAAGCCCACCTAACTCTTTCATTCTGTGGATGGGATTCTTGATTACATTTACCTGTTTCCTGCCTTTGGCTTTATGGTAGGTAAAGGTAAAGGTAGTCCCCTGACATTAAGTCCAGTCATGTCTGACTCTGGGGTGTGGTGCTCATCTCCATTTCTAAGCCGAAGAGCCAGCGTTGTCCGTAGACACCTCCAAGGTCATGTGGCCGGCATGACTGCATGGAGCGCCGTTACCTTCCCGCCGGAGCGGTACCTATTGATCTACTCACATTTGCATGTTTTCGAACTGCTAGGTTGGCAGAAGCTAGGGCTGACAGCGGAAGCTCACGCCGCTCCCCGGAATCGAACCTGCGACCTTTCGATCAACAAGCTCAGCAGCTCAGTGCTTTAACCCACTGATGGTACTATTTCATTATTCAGGCGGAGGCCACTAGGAGGTGCTAGAGAGAGAAAGGTAGTCCAATTTATGGGGGGTGGAGCAGGCATGAGTTAACTTCAGCCCCCTAGATGTTTTCGACATCAACTCCCACAATTCCTAACAAAGGCACTTAAGCACGAATCTTTCCAAGCAAAGCTTCCAAGAAACAAGGATGAGAACTTGACTTGATTCCAAACGATGCTTCATCTGACTACATATCCTGTACTTGGGACTTTTATCTCCTCGTTAAGGTATGTCCCAAGCACTCGGAAATTGGTTTCGCTTTAGCTTCGTGTCTCTTATCTTTCTCTCTCTGAGCCTGGCAGAACACCGAAGCCACTGTTCGGCTCTTCTGTTTTGACTAATCTCCCCCCATCTACCTATTTGCTCATTAATTTCTGCGGCTGGGCCAGGTGCTGGGCTGTTTCCAAGCTTCAAATCATGGGAATTCTCTGGTAGCAATTCAGGGAGCACACCATCATTCCCACACTCTTCATGGACATTCTCATGAGAAACTACACTCTGAACAGGGATCTCCTGGTCCTTCTCTGCATCAATATCATTGACCAGACCATTGCCATTTTGAAACTCATTGTCATCATTCCCCACATCCAAAGCATCCTGATCCTTAAACACAATCACAGGCTGAGCTCCAACACTGGCTCATTCATTTCTGCACCTGGACAATGCGGTGAGCCTTTCTCAGGCTCCAAGCCTAGGGAATTCCCCGGTAGCAATTCATGCCCTGGAAACAGAACATTATCCCCAAACGCTTCAGGAACATTCCCATCAGAAAAGTCACTTTGAACAGGAATCCCATTGTCATTCTCTGCATCTAGATCAACCTCATCATTAGGCCCATGAACCTCACTGTCACTCCCAACATCCAGAGTACCCTGATCATGAGACACAATCACAGGTTGAACTCCAACAATATGTGTGATTTCCCAAGACCATGAAGAAGAAAGAGTTGTTGCACTCCGGAACAGGAATAATCCTCTGAATTTAAACACCACACACTGAATAGGAAAAAACAACCCTTTTATTGAAGATAAGTAAAAGGCAGCAAAGTAAAAAACACTTTAAGGAAATAGGTAAATCCAATTAGGTAAGAAGATAAGCAGCAACGAATTAGTCCAAGGTAGAGTTCAGCAACGTTCATAAAAGCAAAGTCCACACATCTCCAAAACAATCCAGAAAATCCAAGGCTTGGGTAAGCCATTATGAAACCCAGGAATCCAAAACCACGAACAAGAAATATCTTAGCATGAAACTTCAAAGCAAGGGTTCCATCAAACAAGGATGAGAACTTGGCATGATTCTCAACTATGCTTCATCTGACTACACATCCCAAACTTGAGACTTTAATCCCCTCGTTGGCTAGGTCACTAGCGGTCAGAAATTGGCTTCTCTTTAGTTGAGGCTTTGTTATTGTTTTCTGTTGAAGACTGGCAGATTGCCTAAGCCTTTGCACAGCTCTCCTGTTTTGACTAAACTCTTCTCGTCTATCTCTTGGCTCGTTATCTATTTGCTTATTAATTTCTGCAGGTGCTGAGCTATTTTCATCATCATCCCCACACCCCTCAGGGACATTCTCATGGGAAACTACAGGGATCTCCTGATCATTCTCTGTATCAATATCACTGACCAAACCATTGCCATCTTGAATCTCATTAACATCATTCCCCACATCCAAAGTACCCTGATCCTGAAACACAATCACAGGCTGAACTCCAACAAGAGCATTCAAATACTGGCATGTTTCTGGTTGCTTAATGAATACTGTGCTGGTAAGGCTGTACCAGGAGCTCCAACTTCATTTCTTTCTGTTGAGTGTTTGCATGCATTCCAAGGTTACATGCATTTTGCAATAAGGTGGCTTCCCTTGGTTTGCTATTATAGGGCCAATGACCCACCAATCATTGTTAAGTTTTAGTTCCACCCCTTTCCCCAGGGCTCTGGGAGGAGAGGGAGCCATTTTAGGTCAGTCTTGCATTGGAAAACTTAGCGACAGGTCGTGGATTAGCTCCACCTGTAGAGAAGCTTCGTTTCTCACAGCATCCGGGGGAAATTCCGGGGGGAAACAGTTCCAAAGGACTCCAGCTGGAGAATCTACAAAGCCTTGACTGGTAGGTCTACTCGGGACCCAAGAAGCAGTTTGGAGCCGGGAGTGGGGCCCACACCAGCAAAGTTTAGAAAGTTGATAGCCCAAGGAGGGGTTAAAAAGGGTTTTCCTCTTAAAAAAAAGAAGCAGTTCACGAAGCCAGTTGCCTGTCCCTTGTGGACAAGATTAAGAAAGCCACCAGTTGATTCAAAGCCTTGAAGTATTTGTTGAAGATCTGAGAAGTATTTGATTGTTTGTTGAAGACTTAAGCAATAATAAAGGACCTTGTTAAATGTGCTGTCGCACGCTGGGCCTGTGCATAAGACTAGACAGGACATAAATTTTGTGTGCCCAACGGGATGCTGGGGCTGCCTCAGATTAAAGGCCCTTGGATTTCCTTCAAACAGAGTCTTTAAATTGCTTAAAGGTTCAACAATGCTCTTTATTAATGAAAACAAACAGGTACTTTAAAGCTTTCTTAACAGTCTATTGGCTCTCTCTCAATCTTGTCCACAGGGAACAGGCACTATCTTCATAAACTGTATTTTAGCTAATAGGGAAATCCTTAACTTCTAATCGGGGCAGTCTGTCTTTGCCTCTGTTGGCATGGGGCCCCTGCACCCGGTACCAACTGCTTCTGGCTTCTGCGAGTGACCCTTACCAAGAGAGCTTTGTAGACTTCCAGGGAAAAAGGAGTTCAGGTTTCAGTGATGGCTGACTGAAGTCCTTCAGCGAAGGAGCTGTAAGGCTGTATATCTTCAGCCAAGCTGTGGGGCTGAATCTCCCTGGCCAAGCCGTAGAAGATGAAGCTTTCTACAGGAGCTCTTGGTATTATGTCCTGCATGAAAGGCTTCTCTGTGTGGACTGACCCAAAAAGGCTCCTATTCCCTCCAAAACCCAAAAAGGGGGAGGGACCAGGGAACCTAACTATAATTGACAGGTGGCTTGCCCTATGATTGCAGCCAAAAGAAGCCACCTATCTGCAGAGTCCCTGAAACTTAGGACTACAACAAACATTCAATGCAAAGCAAACAAAATTGGAGCTCCTGGTACAGCTGTACCTGCACATTAAAACCTTTCAAGCTTCTAAAGACTCTGTATAGGAAAATCCTTAGGGCCTCTCACTTGAGGCACCCCGGCTTCCTGCTGGGCACAAAGAGCACGTCCTATTCAAAAGCCAACTGCTATAGGCCCAGTGCGTGACAACACAAATACAATTATGACAAGATGACAGACTGGTGTGATAAAGTCCTAACTGAGAAGTATGGGAAAGTAGACCCTTTTTACAATAGCTGACGTGACCAACTTTGTTCTCTCAGTGAGTCTCCCAGGCGCTACAAAATCCCGGGGAAAAAGCTATTACTATAAAGGGAGCCACCATCCTATTAAGAAGGTGGAAAGCCATCCAGTACAACCAGAGACATAATGGGCCTCACTAAACTAGCTTTCTGCTCTAGGCTCAGGGCTTTTATGGCCAATTCCCTTTGGAAATCTCTCTGCAGTAAATGTCTTCTGTTTTATGAAAAGAATAACAACATACATCCAAGCTTTTGCAGGCTTTGTTTGGGTTTCCTCCCCAGTTCTGGATGAGGAATTTCTCCACCCAAATCAGTTCGAAGCAGGTTTAAACAGCGCTTGATACAATGCTGCTCTTCTCTCTAAACGGTTCATCTCATCGATGTTCTTCCCTACAGGCAAGGTTTTAATGTATGCATCCATAGAAACAAGTCCCAGTGTGCAATGATCCCATTCCTGGTTGTTTAGTTACTTCCTGGTAGCCCTCCAGCCCCAGTTGGTTTCTTAATTGGTTCTTTCCTATTTATGGTCCCACCAATCTGTGTTACTAATATATTCTAAGTCTTAAAAACTGCTATAATCCTGGTTGTTAAAAAACGAGAGAACAAAAGAAAATGCTACAATACGGCTCTTTGGCTGCAAGTAAAACTCTCAGGATTCTTTGTAAGATGTGAGTCAAATCATTGTTATTTTTCATTGAAAATAGCAGAAAAGAAATCTAGTTCAAGTCTGTACTTTTTGAAAAGATCAGTAATGCCCTGCCTATTCTTCTGGTAACAGGTTTCTCAGGTCCCTTCTACACTGCCATATAAAATCCAGATTATCTGCTTTGAACTGGATTATATAGCAGTGTAGACACATATAATACAGTTCAAAGCCAATGTGGTTTGTTTGCTTTGATAATCTGGATTATATGGCAGTGTAGAAGGGGCGAACGTCTTTTCATGGAGGATCAAGATCGGGAATCATGGAGCCTCAAAGGGTTTTTTTTTGTTGTTGTGTCAGGAGCAACTTGAGAAACTGAAAGATGCTTCTGGTGTGAGAGAATTGGCAAGGACATTGCCCAGGGGATGCCCGGATGATTTGATGT